TAGCTCAGAACACAAAAAGTCTCAATATCCCGCTCTCACCATATCCCCCTAAGGTGCTCGTTCAAGCCTTTGTCCTCACTCCACACGGGCAGCAGCCTAAGCGAAGAAGAAGAGTCACTCGGTGGCTGCGCTTGTCTTAGCAGAGTCTAAATATGTGCACCCTAAGTCAAACATAGTAGGATGCAGCGCATATGCACATAATACACGTCCGAGTGGTATTTAGCTAACCATGCACTGTAACAAACAGATGACAAGGACAGCCATCTTACTACAACGTCATTTCTTGACTGCATATTATACAAAAATGCAAGCAAGTTTAGGGGTAACTGTCAACCTGTAGCCTATGCGTCTACACATGCGCACTCCGTAGAGCTAAGCGACACGAGTACGAACGAAGAACAACCGTTGTGATCCTCAAGCACTTCCGCAAGCATGGCGCTCTGGTCCGCAACCATATCGAGAAGTGAGAGAAGCTTGCTAGATATCCCTTTCAAAGACTTCCCTACTCACTGTACGTGCCCTACTCACTCAGACGGTTCTGGCACATGAGGATACGAAGCCAGAGAGTAGAGGTAGACGCTGCTGCACCCTCCGGAAGATCCGAGCTTCCATTCGCACCCACTACTTGCATGCAGTAACTGTGTGAAAAGGCCGATAGCCGTTGTGCTTTGAGTACGTCATAAGGGCTGTCCCGCAGCACGAATCTTATGCAGGCAGCCAAAATTACCAGTCAGCAGTTAGCACAAGCTTAATTTGAAATTACCAGTCCACCAGGAAGTGTATTTATTGGCTGAACTACTGGCCCTCTACATTGGCTACGCGCATTCGAGGATATGCACAGATGGTACGAATAAATAGAATCACTTGCATCTTTCCAGGGTATGCGACTTGGAAGATTCCACAGACAGCAAATACGCCTACGCAGCTATTTTGTGTGATGCTGTAGCTGCTGCTGATAGCAGGTGCCACGAGATATTTCCGCATTCCGCAAATTATGGAGCCATCGAGTGCCTCTAGGTATCCGATCTTTCATGCATGCGCTCCTGTATGTCTGAAACTGCTCCACAGGTGCTGCATTTGCGCAAGTCCTTTTGTCCTGGTTGCTGCTTCAGATTCAGCTTCCATGAAAAGCACAGGCGATTACAGCCAACGTGATCGATCGCTGAACCACCCGGCACATGGCCTTGTGGGGAGACCAGTGCCATGAAGATGCCCTTAGAGAAGGCTGTGGCAGTCAGTGCGTAGAGCAGCCCTCGAGGTTCTGAGTCGAAGCCGAAAGCGCTCGAAGGGGTAGATAGCTACTGCTTTTGGTGGCTCCGTTGAGCCATGAGGTTCTACTGAATCCGCGCAAATATGGAATGAGTGTCATGAGGCGGTCTCCATATCTGCGTTGTTGTATGTGGCTCGTAAAGCACAAAGCCGCCTCGTTTGTACAAAGCTGCATCGCGTCTGTATGTGTGTGGCTGGAGGTACCTTGACGATACCGTCTACACATTTGTACTCTATGCACATCACTCAAGGCGTTCCCCTAGCTCAATCTATGTGCACACTATGCACTATGCCTAAAAGTGGTGGGGCGAAACGACCAAAGAGTCATATATATATATATATATGTATAGATATATAGATAAGCTAAATCTGCCCAAAGTAGGCCTGCATTCCGCCAGTATCCCGCGTTCCTTTAGAAATGCAATTTGCTCGGTTTCCTCGGAGTTTGAGGAACTATTGGGGAAACACAGCACTGCAGTATATCCATGGGGGCATGCCCTCCTGCTGCTGAGTGGGGGATCTCTAAATGCAAAGGATCACGCCTCCCCCCACACGCAGCACAGAGTAGTGCATCCCCCCGATCGCTCCCGTCGGCTGCTGCCTGGGAAATCAAGAACCCTCGTTCCTCCCCCTCCTGCCCTTGCCTTTTTCAGTCCCCAACTGAGGCTCCTCTGCGTCATTTGCTAGGAGCCCTTCGCCGCGAAAAAGCCTCCCGACTTGAGGCATGTTGACTGCTGCAGCAGGGGATTAGCGCTGGCGCTTCGCAGGAGCTGTTACAACGGGCTTTTTCCCAAGACGTGGACGGCATAGGAGGCGTGTCTCTTAAAATCAAAATTCTGCACCAATTTTCTCTGCGTCGAGCACAGAGGAACGCCCGCTGGAGACCTCCACGTGAATTCTCGGAGCAGCTGCTGCTGCTGCAGGTGTTACGCTGCTGCAGCTTGCACCTCCAGAAGCCACCACTGCAAGAGAAGGCAGTTTCTCTGGGAGACGATCGATAAGAGAATGGGAAGTGATTTCGGAGGGAAAGGCAAGGCATCTGACAGCGCCGGAAACTACAGACGCGTTTATGCAATGCACGATGCACTAGCACAAATCACATGCGCACAAACAACATCTACACATTCGCATGAAACTGCGATACATTTTGCTGCTCCTGCTGAAAAAAGTGGCAGCTCATACGCTTGCGGCAGCAAAGGCAGAGCACACCCACGCCTTCACCAAAAGCTGCAGCAGCAACTCCTCCTGCAGCAACTCGCAATATGGATCTTTTTGCACCTGCGCCAGCACTTTTGCTGCATTTGCTACATCAAGGCTTTCCCGGATGCCTGTGTGGCTGCGTCGACGCGGAAGGCCTTTTTTTATCATACACGCATACACACGCACACTTGTCACTGGTATTCACCAGCAGTGCCACCAGCTGGCTCAGCCTACGCTGCAAAGCTGTAAAGCTGTTGCCCCCTGCTGCAGTCGCTACGGATTTCGCGCAGTGGCGGCAGGAGGCAGCACCAAAGGACCAGAGAGCTCCTCCCGTCCACTGTGAGATGCCTTTTGAGGTGATTCAAGGTGCTTGTCGGCGACGTCACTCGAGCCAGCTGCTGCCGAGGCAACTGCCCTTGCTGCTGGCGCTCGAGCTCGTTCGAGAACGGCAGTCTGAAGAGGCGGCATAAGAGACGCTGGACTTGATGGCCTATGGACGGCTGGTGTTGTCAAGCTGCTGCTTCCAGTTCCTCTATCCCCCACCCAAGTCGAACCGGAGGTGTGCTCTCCCGCGTCGCTTCCTACAGCCAAAAGATACTTGACCCTCCTTAGGACCTGCAGCAGCAGCAACAGCAGCAGCAGCAACAGCAGCAGTTACACCCCAATAAAAAACGCGAAAACGCCTCCCCTGCGAGTTCGATCGAGGCCAGGGTGGTTCCTTGCATCCCTGCAAGGCTCCCTAGCCAGAGATTGCCTCTCCACTCCTCTCCCCAACAACTGCCCGCCTCGCTTTCCCCCTCAGCCCTCCCCACAGCTCCTGATCCTTGGGCTGACTGCTAGTCGTGCCGCTTTCTACTGCTGCACAGGTCCCCGCTTCTGTGCATCGCCAGCGTCTTGTGAAGGCACTCCCGCCTCTGCTCCTTTTCACGCACTTCGTTTGCAGATGGCCTATCCTGCGGGTTTGGTCGCGCCATTTCAATCATCAAGTCTCTCCAGCAGCTGCGGTAGGCGGAAACGTGCTGAGGCACCTGCAGAAAAAATCCGCAGCAGCATTTTAGCAGCATCAGTGGTGCACGCAGTGCCATCACCACGGTGTGGAAACGAGGCAACGCGCGGGCATGCGCAGGCAGCAAAGGGAGACAGGAGAAGTCTGGCAGGAGTCGGTGCGTCTCGACAGGAGTCGGTGTGTCTCGACAGGAGTCGGTGTGTCTCGACAGGAGTCGGTGTGTCTCGAGGACGTGTGCTCGCAAGCGACGGAGGATTGGGCGTTCGTTTCTAGGGCTAGCTACAACACGAGGAGGAGCACCCCGTAAACGACGTGAAGCGCACTTCATAGTACAGTTTGAACGCTTCCAGAGTCTTCACGCGCTCCATAACAGTCTTGAAGCGAGGGCAAAGCAGCTCCAGAAGAATCAAAGCGCTGGAATAAATATCTGCCTTTTCATCGCATAGTCCCCCGCCTTCAGGAGCCGCGTATGCGGGTGTACCTATGACTTCGCCCTTGTAAGACTGCGCGAAAAAACAGGCTCAACGCATGCATATTCAAGAGGGAAAAGAAAGACAAGGAAGTCGTGACACAGGAAGTAACTCGCAACCGTTGAGGCCATCTTTCGAAAGGCACTTCGCACCGAGCGCACGGCGCCTTCCGTCTCGAACGCACTCACATGCAGATCACAAGCAAGAAGAGCTTACCATGTCGAAGAAGATAGGCTTCTTTATGCCTCCTGCCCGTGACGAAGCACCCGGATGCAGCAAAGCATTCTGCTGCTTGTCTAGAGAGACACCAGCATCTGCTGATGCTGTTGCCACACCAGCAGCACCAGCGTCTGCACTTTCGGCGAGCTGCCCTGCCGTTTTGCTTTGAATGAATTTTGCAAGACCAAAATCCACAATCTTCAAAACATGAGACTGAGGGTCGACGAAAATGTTCTCAGGCTTCAAATCCCGATGCACGATACCCCTGAGGCAGAAAACAGCAGACAGGAGGCGCAGAAAGCGTTGAAATTGCAGACAGGCAACAGGCGCAGAAAGCGTTGAAATTGCAGACAGGCAACAGGCGCAGAAAGCGTTGAAATTGCAGACAGGCAACAGGCGCAGAAAGCGTTGAAATTGCAGACAGGCAACTGGCGCAGAAAGCGTTGAAATTGCACACAGGCAACAGGCGCAGAAAGCGTTGACATTGCAGACAGGCAACAGGCGCAGAAAGCGTTGAAATCGCAGACAGGCGACAGGCGCAGAAAGCGTTGAGTTGCAGACAGGCAACAGGCGCAGAAAGCGTTGAAATTGCAGACAGGCAACAGGCGCAGAAAGCGTTGAATTGCAGACAGGAGGCAAAACAAATCGGAGAGCCGCAACAGCAATAGAAACAGCGAACGAAATGCAATGCCGTGTGGTGTAGAGGAGCGAGGCCAGACACACATACACAAACACACACCTACACATACAGATACCCCTCCACATCTATGCACGCATACAGATATATATATGTATATAAGCACACCCAGGCTATCCCGGAAAAGAACAAACACTCGTTAAGGCGCTGCATTGGTGAGCCTTGCCAACATGGCGAGTAAAGGAAGCGGCCATGGGCGGGAAGCCCAGCAAACACACGAGTTATTTTGCGAACACGCGAGAAGAAGAGTGCAGCGAGGGCAGTTCGCAGGAGAGGGAGGGAGTGTGGAGAACATATGGTGGCGGCAACTAGGGCACAGACAGCAACAGAGGAGCACGAGGAGAGGGGAATCGGGGGGGGAAGGGCTGGAGATGTGGAGGGAGAAGCCGGGATTTTTTGGCGTTCTGGAGGAGGAAGAAGAATCAGAGTCGAAGCAAGAGCAGCAGCACTATCGCGCTCAAGCATCAAAGAATGCGAGGGCACCTCTCGTGGATGTCTCGGATCCCTTTCATCAGCTGCTTGAACAAATCCAGCTCTAACAAAGGCCACCGTCCTAATGCTGCATCTTCCACACACGAGCTTCTTTCTGGTCTGAAGGGGATGCAGGAGAAAGCGGAGGCACACAATGCAGCCGCGATGAGGAAGAATCGTCGTCGCAGCGTCTCTCGCTCTGTTGGAGGAAGCCGTAGAGAGGTGCTCGACAAGAGCTTTTTTCGCATCCTGGAAGCGGAAGGAAAACGCCGTTAAAAACGCCGTTAAAACCGCAGCCGCACACGCAGCAGCAGCAGACTGCATACCTGTCTAGCCAAGCTCTCAAGGTTAAACCTGAACACATTTCCATTTGAATGAGGAGGACGACAGGGTACAAAGGACCTTGTTGGTGTTGCTGCTGCTGAGGCACTGGCCCTCGAAGCTCCTTGGGAGGCTTGCGTTCTCTGTCATGCGCTGCGACGAGCTGCTGCAGCAGCCGCTGCTGTTGCTGCTTCTGCTGCTCGTGGTGCAGCTGCGGCGTGGGAGCCTCCCCCGACGCCTTGCGCCTCTCCTCCAGACCGTCGATTTCGGAAATGTCATCCTGGAAGACTATGAGATCGCGTTCATCGTCGCTGAGGTAGGCGGACCATAGTTCGTCCTCACTCCACACGTCCTGTTGCAGCAGCAACGCCATCCGCTTATGCTTATTATTCTGCCGCTGCTGCTGTTGCTGCGGCGACGACGCCTCTTCTTCTGGCTCTTGGAGAGGCGCTTGCACGTCTTTTTGCAGCACCCCAGAGCGACCTAGACTCTCTCGGCTGGCATCCGATTCTTCTTGCCTCTCGTCGAGTGCGCAGTCGCCCATGGGGGGAGGGGGTCTGACTCCGCTTGCAGAGCCTGCTGCGTTCTGCTGCTTCCGCCGCAAGCGTCGCGCTGCGGCAGCAGCCGCAGCAGCAGCCGCGGCGCGACGCCTCCGACGAAGTTTCCACGCACCCACAGCAGCGTCGCACCTCCACAGCCCAGCCTCGATCCGCTGTACAGACTGCGTGCTGCCGCTACTGCCACTGTGCCTCCTTCGGCAGGGGAAGGGGATCTGAATCCCTGCTGCATCCGGTGCCAAGCCGAGTTGCTTCTTCCATGAACCCCCCCCCAGAGAAGACTCGCGACGACAACCAACGACGTACAGCGGCTCCGAATCGCCCGTTGTATTCCGCCAAGAAAGAGACAGCCTCCCGCCTCCAGAGAGGGAAGCGTCGCAACGCGGGAGCAATCCCTCCGTGTCACTCAGCGATGCCACAGCCGCAGGCGTCTTCTGAAGACCTCTAGAGACACTTGGAAGCGGCGGAAGTCGTAGCGCGCTGAAGGGATCCCTCGCGACTGCCGACTGAGACGATCCGCGACAGCTTGCCGCCAGACTCGCCCCCGCCGTTGCACAAACGTCGGCTCGCGCGCCTTGCCGCCGCTGCTGCAGCTGACGACGCGGATGACGATGACGATCCTGCAAGTCTTCTCCTCCAACATGCACCCCCCCCCCCGAAGAAGACACTGGAGGGCTTGATGCGACACGACGCAGGGAGGAAGAAGACTGACGCAGCAAGTGCCGACGTCGACGTCTGCAAGGATGAAGTCTCCTTTGCGCCACTTTCTCTCCAGCAGACACTGCAACATTATCCTCGGAGTCTGTCTCCTCCCCAGTCAAAGGCCCCTCCCTGCCAGCTGCAGCAGCGAGGCAGGCGGCAGCAGCTGCCGCCTTCTTTCTGCTCCTCGAAATGCCATAGTCATCTTCAGACAGACACCCCGAACGGTAAGACGCCAGGAGAGACCCCTCCAAGGCTCTCCGCTGCGTAACAGCAAAGCAGACAGAGCACAACGTACTCACTAGGACAGGATGAAACACACACTCCCTAGCCTAAATATTCCGAAAAACACAAAAGGAAAACAAAGAATCGAACGCTCTGCTAAAGCCCATGACGCCCTTGCATCACCTAACCACGCTGCCCCCTTCTTCCCACAAATTTCAACGCATGCTGCTCCCGCATCATTGGCATCCCTCGCCAGCCACATACGCAGCACCCAACACTAGCAAAGGCAGGAACCTGGGCATTCACATACATACGTATATCTATGTGTGGGGGCAGACATCTGCATCTATATCTATGTGTGTGTGTTGATGTCTGCATCTGTATCTATGTGTGTGTGTTGATGTCTGCATCTGTATCTATGTGTGTGTGTAGATATCTGCAGCTATATCTATGTGTGTGTGTTGATATCTGCATCTATATATATATATGTATATGTAGATATCTGCATCTGTATCTATGTGTATGTAGGTATCTGCATCTATTTATATGTGTGTGTGTTGATATCTGCATCTATATATATATATGTGTCTGTAGATATCTGCATCGATTTATATGTTTATGTAGGTATCTGCATCTATACATATATATATATATATATGTGTGTAGATATCTGCATCTATACATATATATATGTGTGTGTGTAGATATCTGCATCTATCTAGGTGTGTATATACATGCATGTATATGCATGCACGTACGTGTGTCTTTGACAGTTCCTCGAAGTGCGTGTTTTTTGGTGTGTAGGGGTTGTGTAGGTTGCTCACCGCAGAAGTGAGCACAGCATCTCCTTCAGTGGTTCCTCTTCTTCCTCTCCTAGGAGCATCCCTGCCAAGAAGCGCTTCCTCAGGGACGAGTCGTGTGCCCCCCCCTCGTTTGTGACGTCTTTTTCGAGCGCCTTTCTTGACTCCTCCAGTCGCCTTCTTCTCACGCTGCCTCTGAGCACCTGGAGCGATGCCTTCCCCGTCTGCAACTGGCAAGAAGTGCGGCTCTTCACACCACCACGTATAATATCTGCAGCACAATCGGCAGACACCGCAAACCAGATGCGAATGGCCGTCTTCTTTGTACGATACAGGATGTCTGCGCTACCTCCAAAGCAGCGACGGCAAGAAAAAACACGCAATGTCTGACTCTGGCAGATATGTGCAACACCTGCTGTCTGCGAAAGACGGGATCAGATGATATCTATATATATATAATATATATCAGCCAACCAAGTGCATGCAGCTGCAAAAGGCCACTTTCGCCGCCCTCAGAGACTCCGTTTCTCGAGCATTGAGCGGTGTCTCTCTGCTCACCGTACAACATGCTTCGAATACAAATCTCTATTCGCTGCAACTTCCCGAAAGTCTCTCCTGAGAGAGATGTCTTCGCTACTTGCAAGCTGTAGACGTATCAGCTTCACCGCATATATGGGATGCCCTGGCTCCAGCAAATGGCGAACCTGGGGGAACGTTTGCACATTCAGACACACATATGCACATTCTAACACACATGCATATACACATACACTCTAACACATATGCACATTCTAACACACATGCATATACACATACACACAGACACATATGCACATTCTAACACACATGCATACACATACACATATGCACATTTTAACACATATGCATACACATACACACAGACACATATGCACATTTTAACACATATGCATACATACAGACACACATAGGCGCATTCTAACACACATGCATACACATACACACAGCCACATATGCACATTCTAACACACATGCATACACATACACACAGCCACATATGCACATTTTAACACATATGCATACATACACACACTCTAACACATATGCACATTCTAACGCGTATGCATGTACACACCCACACCCACATTCTGACCCACGTGAATACACACACAGACACTCTAACACATATGCATGCATATGCACGCTCTAAGACGTGCATGCTGAGATACAATATGCCCTTATAAACAAATAGGCAAAGCTAGAGCACGAGCCATCTTGGAGACGGCAGCTGCGAATACGCAAGACCCCCTCGTCTCCCTTTGCGTTGCAGGAGACTTTCGAGGCAGCAGCAGAAGCTGTGCAACCCAAAAAAAGCCCAGCTGCTCCGAGAACGAGTGAGCGAGAAGAGGGAGAGCGAGGCAGAATGGAGAGAAAGGGGGAGGCGAGGTGAGATGAAGCCTCAAACGCGAGAAACAGAGCTGCGCTGAGAGAGAGGAGGTGGCTTTCCCCCCCCCCCCCCCCCCCCCCCCCCCCCCCCCTCCCCCCCCCTCCCCCCCCCCCCCCCCCCCCCCCCCCCCCCCCCCCCCCCCCCCCCCCCCCCCCCCCCCCCCCCCCCCCCCCCCCCCCCCCCCCCCCCCCCCCCCCCCCCCCCCCCCCCCCCCCCCCCCCCCCCCCCC